AAAGTGGATAATCCATGAGATCAAAAATCGGAAAAAGAAGAATGCGGTATTTTATTCGATTTTTGAGTCGCAATTTTTGGGACATCTGTACACGAGATGTTATAAAAAAGAATTGATATTTTACAGTATTTTTGAGCCTACATTTTTGTGACTCATGGTGTCCCGGTCTCCCTTACACTATATTAACGATAATAGCTGCGTTTAATCTCAACGATTAAAAAAATGCAGCATTCTCTACATTTTTTTTGGAGGGAGATTTCATTTCTTTGGAGTGAAAATTGTTACCCTTTTTTTCAAGAAGTGAAATATTGTCACTCTTTTCCAAAAATGGCTACATTTTCGTTCTCTTGGAGTGAGATTTCTTTCCACGAGACAGCATAGATGCGATTGTTACCCAATTTCTTCATTATTTAAATTTATTTTTAACACTTTGGCAATCTAGAGTTTCAACTTTAAGAGCCCATAGATAAACGCGTTACTATATGTATACTTTAACGTGAAAATTCTCGAAGATACGCGGAAGCGATCTTTACTCGAAAAACGTATGAGATTATACGCCGGCGTGTCTACACGCCCTAATGCATATTTGCTGCTCGGGGAACGGCACGACTCTAAATAAGGTAATCCGCGCTATTAAGGTTCTGGAAAAGTCGCATCCGAAAGGCGCGGTGCGTACGCGAGACGTTCGTTTTATCGTTCATTACGGTGCCCGGGTCTCGCGTTCCGATAAACCGGTTTCCGGTAAGCGGGCAGTCGCGGAAACGGATTTGGCTCATTTGCCAAGCGGACTTTACGCCCGTTTACGTTACGGTTATACGCGCGGCGGGCAGGAAAGGCAGGCGTGCGAACGGTCGTTCCGCCGGGCGCAAACAGGCAGACTTTAACGATCGGTAATCGGTTTCTCCGGCAGCGCGCGCCGCGCCGGGACGTCTCGGCAAAAAGTTTAATGGCCAGGAAAAAATCGCATTAACGATCCCGCCGCTCGTCGCCGCCGTCGCCTTTTCCTTGCGAAAGGCGTTCGCCGAAGGTCGACCGCGCGAAGTGATGCAAATTATTCGACGAAAGAAAAAAGAAGGAAGGGAACAAGTGAAGGATATAATAATCGGCCCGGAGCAATTTTGGGCGATGCCACTTGATATTTTAGAATCGCGACAAGAAGCGGGAGAACTATAATAAGAAATAAAATTATGTAAAAAATTTTGAAAAAAAATTAATTTTATTTATTTTAACAAGTTCAAAAACATATATTTATATATATATATGTATATATTTACGTATTCTAGATATACTTTTTTTACTTATATTTTATATCTTTATGGTTATATCTCTACTAGAATTAATGCAATCTTTTTTTCTAGTAAAAGAATATTATTGTTTGTGCAAATTATAATCGGCAGAGAAGAAAGAATTCTAGGAAATTCCAAAGATATGTTAAAAATAATGTTTGTAGTTTAAGTACTTACCTCAGACAATTCTTGCGTTTGATCGATTAGTTTCGATTATTGAGAAAAATGTAGTTGTAACCAAAAAAAATGCATTCTGATCATATCAATCAGAATTTGGATTATCGGAATTGAATTTGTGATTATATTGACTCGAATGTTTATTAGTATGTGATTTGTACTTTGTGATTTATTAACATAATAATATATAATACTATACACTAATAATATAATTTCAATTAATGTAACTAGATTCTTTTTTAGTAAAAATCATTGACATTTCTGCAAATTATATACAATCGAGGAAAAAGAGAATGTTTCAAACTCTTTATGTTTCAATCGAAACTCTTAGGAAACTTAAAAACCCCACACTGTGAGAGAAAAAAAGAATTAGAATCGAATTATATTAATTGTAACTTATATTTTTACGATAATAATAACTATCATGTTTATTTTTGGTACCAACTATGTTTTGATAAAACTACAAATATAATTATTATTAACATTATAGCAATAACAATCATAATTATATCGTGTAATTATGATCACAAACAAAGGAAATTTTTCCAGTGCGCAGATTGGAAAGTCGATTTCGATTGGGTAGGGATATAGTAAAAAAAAAAACACGGCGTGGTGTACAGTTCAATACATGCCTATATTGACTGCATGTCTAAGTACATCGAATAAGGAATTCGAATCCCAGGATATTTAGCAATTACAGACGTAAATTAGGTGGTGAGATGGTGACTCCTCGCTACGCTGAGCGCGATTGGTCGCGCCTCCTCGAACGCTCACTATTCACGCAAAATACACGCACACTAACGCATCCTCTTTCTCTTTCGCCGTATATATACACCTAGATAACATCAAAATAAATCTATATCTCGCAAATAGCAATAATTCCGATCGAGAGGCTATGTACACGAATGGCGGACTAAAACGCACGCACTCCCGCTCTTTCTCTCGCACACTCACTCGCCCTTTCTCTCCCTCTCGCTCTTCTTTTTTCATTAATAATCGTAAACTAAATTACTCCATCATTTACATACATACAATTATCTTGTAACGCGTTTTTACGCGCAACTACGTCAGAAGGATTTCTTTTGTCGCTTGCACGATCGCAAAGTCGCGGGACCGAATGGCCCTGCCAGAAGAGGCGGCAGTTTGCCTCCTCGCTGTGTTTTCTCAGAGAAAATCGCAGAAGTTTAGGCGTATAGTTATTATTATTTTTTTTTTTTTTTCTTTACAATCCTGTCTCGCACTCGCTCTATTTTGGCATCCGCTCCTCGAAACATTCGCGTCGCTGCGTGTCGTCGCTTCTGCTCCACATTCTCATTCCCACGCTTGCCGTCCGTTAATTTTTCTTCAACGGAGAAAGGTAAGCTGATTCGGATCGATCCAGTTGGTTAGTTCGATCAATTCAGAGGTGTATAAATTAATCCTCCGTTTGCAATCACATTTTTATTCCATCCGTCTGCAATCTGGGATCTATATTTTGGCCAGTCTGTTTTTTTTACTGTCTTAGTCTTTCGAAAAAATTCAGAGTTACTTTTTAACATCTTTATTACACTAAATAATTTGTTCAACAATTTTTTATATGTCTAAACTTACTTTTACACATTCACGACTGCGTCAATTTGGATTGTTATTCTGCTGAAGTACTATCAATCAAGTACTTCTTAAGAGATGATAGCGATATTTCTGCAATAATCTGAAGACCATATTCCAAAACCGTCGGTGTTAAAAATATATAGTACACGTAACATAAATTATAAACTGCAAAAAGAGTCTGGCTACATTAATGGAAATTCTTGTGGAAAACGGACAAATCAGAATTTTATAGTGAATTCTGTTATAATTCTAGTTGATTAGAGCATAATAGGACAACAAAATGTCCTATTGTGATAATCGGATCTGATTGGTATGATCAGAATCTATACTGATTCATTCATTTTTAACAAAAAAATTTCTCTCAGTGCAGATTTTCAACGCTGGTAATGAACACAGTCGAAATATGTTACCTGTGAACGTTAGTTGTATTCACCTGCCATGCGATCCCCGATGGTTACCATAACCCACGCAGTGAATCATGCCGTTCAACAAGAAACAGTCGTAACTGTGTGAAATTTGAGTAAAAATAAGAGTGAAATTTCAGTGAAATTTTATTCGTACCAAAAAAAGCCCCAGATTACAGACGGAGAGTGCGTTAAAATAAAAATTAAATACTCAGCTGGCGAGATGCGAAGGCTGGAAGTGGCCTATTTTTACATGTGGAACATAGCTCTGCTTAACGAAATTAGAATATCCGTCAGAGATTAATATTCCTAACACATATATATTCCTGAACATTCCTAAAAATAACGCTCGCGGGCAATGCAAGGCGGGCTTTGAAATAAAAGAAAATGCACGGCGCTTAATCTTTTCCGAGTCACGCTACAAGATCGTTAAACGTTGCGCGCGTCACGTTACGTTTCGCCGCGGTTTCGCTCGTTACGTTCATCCCTCGTTGAATTCGCCCCGTTCTGGAATCGTTTCGCCGATACGAGAATCTCGCTGCGACGCAATCGGAGCGTCGGGAACGCCGTTATTCGAGCGGCGCTCTCGCGAGAGTAAAGCGTTGCAGCGGATTTAACGACCGCGGCGGCGGCGGCGCTTTTGGACGCGATGCAAATTAAAGGCTTCATTAGCGCCGTCGCAAGAAACGGCGCGTACGGCAACGCCGACGTCACACGTTCTCGCGAGTGGAGTTATTAGGCGGGAATACGCGTACGCCTTTTCCGTGTACTCATTTCCACAATTGAGCGCAAGCGGTGCGACGAGGGGGGGAAAAAAAAAGAACAAAAATTAGCGACGGGGTTTTCCGCAGTTTTCTGCCCGGAACTGTAAAAGATTCTAGAGATCAGTGAAACAATTTATTTGTATCTGGGGGGAGGGAGGATAAATTACACAGTTTCCAAGTACGCAAAAATTCGTCGACCTTGCAGCTATGTGAAAGGGTAATTTCGAGTGTCCTCTCTCTCCTCCCCCTCCCCCCACGCCAATTAGCATACCTCTCGATATTAACGCCAATCGCGTTAATTTCCCGCACTGTGAAAATTCGCCGATTGCGGATTGCATTATCGCGAAATTGTGTCATTGCCAATTCTCTAATAATAACGTAAATAAATATCGCGCGTTTTAATTACTTTTGGCTCCGCTCGCCGCCACTCTTTTGAGAATTACATTACGCTAATTGAGGAGCACTTTTCGAAATGTACACGCATTTTCCACACCCAGGAACGTATCCGCGAAATCGCATATGCCGCACTGAACATTTCGCAACATCAAGAAAGATTCTATAACTGGAGTCTGGCCACGACTTCTTTTTTTAAATCTTATACAAGGGAAAAAGGTTTATTTACTTTGAATACTGAAATCACAAAAAGTTTGAAAAATTATAAAAAAAAAACTGAATAGAGAAAGGTGGTACGAGTATGTCATTATGCCGCAAAGAGTTAATTAAAGTTATAGAATAGATTAAAGTGAGATAGTACTACACAAAAAGTATACATTCCCCCGCAATCTCCGATTTCTTAGAAAAAAATTAAGTTTGTCGTATCCAGATTCAAACAATGTCAATGACTCACTACCTTAAAAATAATCTTAAAAATAATCTACGATAATTTTACGTTTCCCAAAATTATTCTCAATAATAACGTTAATTTCGCTCTTTCCGAGATCAATCACCCAGATACGTATCGAATATACGCGATCTGATCTAAGCTGTCGTGAGAAGGATTTTTCCGCAGTAGACGACGATCGCAGCTGCGCACCGGCGCGACTTCCGATTTCGCACGCGCGCTTCACGAGATACATTTTTATTTACAAAGACAAAGAGCCCTTAGATCTTTACCACGGTCTCCACATGCCCTCCTCATCCTTGACCGGTTGCTGGCCGATTGGCGACGGAGAGGGCATGCCGACGGCGATCTCGCTGTCCGCATGACTAGACGGTCTGTCCTCATGGATAATAGGACCGCCGGTCTCGGTCGGCAGACGGGCTTGTTGCTGCTGCTGCCGCAAATGATGATGGTGATCGGCCACCCCGGAATGCGTCGAGTTTCTCGAACCAGCGGACTTGATCTTCTTGGACGTGGTGGTGAAATCGAGTGGCTGCTCTGGCTGCTCCATTCGCGGACTCTTGCTGGGCTTGAGGCCGCCGGTGGGATCCTGCCATTCCTGGCCGATCTCCTCGTGCGGTCGCTTCGCCAGCTTGTCGGTGGCTTTGAGCAGCGACATGTTGGTCGCCGCCCAGATCGCCGTTGGCGGATTAGGCCCGATGCTGATGCCGTTCGCCGCGGCCGCCGCTGCCAATTGCACGTAGTGGCTCGGCAGTAGGAAGACCACCTGACCGTCCGGCAATCGAGAGGGTATTACTTGCACCACGGAGAGCATGTTGGGATTCTGCTGCGACGTGGAGGCTTGATCGACCGGCAAGCCCGACGGATGATGCGGATGATGCGGGTCCAACGTCGCTGGGTTCACCTGACTGAAGGCGGAGGTCGGTCGGCTGCTGTTGTTGTTCTCGTCGCCAGCGGTGGTGCTGCTGTCGGGTCGTGCCGCCTCCACCATCTCTGGGATCTCGGACTTGATCAGACCCGCCGGCGTGAGCGCGGCGCTGCAATGCGGTCCGACCGGCACGTGGTGATCCAACGGGCCTGGGCTCGTCGTCCCCGCCACACGATCCGTCACGCTACCCGGGCTGCTGCCCAGGCCGCTGTCCGGCCGCGATCCCAGGTCGAGATCGAGCTCTGACACGCAGCTATCGAGGTGGCGAAGCAGCCGCTGCTTCACCGCCGGATCCATTGGCGTGGTGTTGCCCGTGATGATGTCTGGTGCATCGAGATATCGACTCACCTGGAACACGATAATGAGAAACCGGTGATGTAAATGCCGCTCGGAAATAAAACATCTGTTCGTACTTGAAAGATGGAGAGTAAGTTGAACGGAGATTAAAGTCGATCCGCGCACATTGGTAAAAATGAACATCGGATAATCTTTTCACGAAACAGATATGGTGACAATCGCTATGTATTGCAGAGTATATAGGATGGATTATATAAAGCTTCACACGGAAACTTATATACGTTACAATAGAGTCAAATATTGCCGCTATATTTATCTGGCGTGACTAGACTCTTGCTCGAGGGTCTCTGTAGTGAACGAAGAGTTGTGGCGATGAAAAACGCGCGCTCAGTTTGTGCGGATGAATCATGCTGAAATCCTTGAATTTTATGCAAACGTGCAAGTAGTCGCGGAGACACATTGATATTAGAGAACGGCACAGCGCCAGAAACTCATGTCGGTTCAGACGAGACCGAGCTTCTCGCTTTGTGCGACCGCCAATCCGCGTTACCGCGAATAATTTCATTCTTTTTCTTCTTCTCGAACTCCCTCAACGGGAGGGAGGACTGGCGCCAAGTATGGAGGCTTATTCGATCAATGTTAAGTTATGATTAAAATGTCTATTATTTGCGAGTGAGTAACTTTCGTGATATTGTATTATGACAAGTGTTCGTACAATGTTCTGAATATTTCATTAATATGTGAACCTTCTCTTGTTGTTCCGGAATATCGAGAATACGAATCAAACATTTCACGAATGATTAGTTGGGTTCCTCCGCAACCTGGATCTTTTTTTGATACAAGCGAGAACTCTCCGAAATAAAGGATTCGGTGTCTGATTTCCTCCTCTCTTACAGTATCTTGTTAAAAAACTATTTGATAATGTAAAAGAAATGTTTAAACAGTAACGCTAAATTTTTTCACATTTTTTGAAAAAAAAAAAAAAAAAGAATAGTATAAAAAGTTTGTCCTGGACAAAAAAGACCGCAGAGAATTAATCCTTTTAACTACAACTGTATGAAAATTACATCTAAGTTCTAATGCGTTTGTTTTAAGGTACAGAATACAAATGAACCTCCGTCTCTTACGGCGATTGACACAAAAAAGTTCAAAGTTCTATCTACAATTTAGAACCTCATAGTACAAATCCGTATTAACCGTCTACAATTTTTCCTTCGGATCCAAATGATCTATTATTACAGTCGAGAGTTGTTGCATAAAATCGGAAATATATGTATTTGCGAAATATATTAAGTTTTTTCGAGGCACAGCTATGAATATGCTAGGCCTGAGGAATTGCGCGGATCGATCCTCCCGGGAGCAGCGAACAATTTCACGAGCGGAGGCGATTTTTGCGGGAGGTAACGTCAGCGATAAACAAACATTCGCGCGAGTCAACGTCGAAATATATTGCGCGCTGAAAATTCCGCCCTCGACACTGCGGGCGCGGTGTATCGCGCGTCAGTCATTATCGACCGCCGGGGCGTAATTGAATATTTCGCTCTTTAATCCGCAGTATGTACGGTCGAGTAACGGCGCCGCGTGATTATTTGTTGCCCGGTGCCCCTCCCTGGCGCTGCGCGACCCGGACGGGCCCTCTCCCGCGGCCCCGTAATTTATTTCGTACGTGCCGGCGATAACAACCGGCGCGATAAAACGCTCTTTAACCCGTTGGAGCGACGACGCAACTGCGAACTTTTCGCAGGCCGGTATTATCGCCGCGAATCACTAATTAACGCGCGCTTAGAGCGGCCCGCTGATTAACGTGCCGTGCGCGGAAGGTAATCGGCTGGGATTTTATAATAATGTACCTCGGCGCGGTTCAATATTTCGAAATAATTAAAGAGGAAGATTGAATTGCGCATTAGACCAAAATTCGCCGCGAGGTTCGTTTTTTTTTTTTTTTTTGGTTGCTCCTGCGTTAAAACTTTCTCCTTTTTTCGTATGTTTAAATTTCAAGCACTTACGATGTTTCACTTCGATTACAAAAGGTGTATACTAGAATAAAAAAAGAAACATTTTTCTACACACGGAAAAAAAAACGATTTTGCTGAAAGTATCTAAAGATTTAGGTAGATACAGATGTGAAAATAATTTTGTTGAACCATTCAAACAATTTTTGTAGAAATCTCAATAATGATGATAAATCTGAGCCACACGTTAATCACAAAATAAAAAATCGGCCCCCTCTTTCTCTCTGGCTTTAATCTGAATGTTAAATAATCGTCATGTATGTTTGTTGTGCGCAAGCAATTTATAAAAGAAAAGCTAGCAAAAGTTACTTCATCTTTCTTGGTTAATTTCCGAACTCCAACTGTAACTCTTTATTTGAATAGAAACTAATTGGCCAACACTACAATCGCCTATTAATTAAATATTATCGGTTGCGATCATGCGCGAGAGAATCATTAGTACGATTTTTTTTACACAGTGAATCCTATACTCTGTTATACGAACAAAGTGACGACAATTGTGACGACAATAGTGTCTTTGTATTTATTTCTTTTTTTTTTTTTTTTTTTCGGAAGAAATTCGAGAAGCGGTACGGATCTGGAATTTCAAAAACTAGGAAATTGTATCCGCGAATTATATCGCATTTAAACGGCGGTACGTGCGCGCGAAAAACGACGATGAATCGCTGAAAAAGTCAGTAACGCGCGACCGCCGCGACACGAGCTTGCGGTAGACCGGAAGAGAGCCGAATTGCGAGTGGAAGCGGCGGCGATTCGGGCGGAAGCGGCGCGATTGATCTCTAATCGCGTAGCGTATCGCGCGCTATATTTTACACGGTGGCGTATCGAGCGTGCATTGCACGCCGGCGTAACTATCGTCCGTTCGCTGCCTGCGCTGCTGGCGGGACAATAGTTCCGCGGCGAGCAGCGAACGCGCGAGAGAGCTTTTATGGGTCGCTGCTTCAAAATAAAGCAACCGAATCGGCCACCGCCACGCGTTGGAAAGAGAGCGGCGACTTCGAGGGCACGAACAGATCGCGTACGGATAGATATCCGCGAATGTGGGTTAATCGCGCGCGTCAGCAATTAGGAGAAACGGAATTCGTATTTTCGACTCTATTTCGATGTTTCTGAACATTTAGAAATTCATTTGAATCGGGGTATCCAGAAATAAGAGCAATTAATTACCATCTTTAATGTACGAAGTAACAAAGTGGTTCGATCGTAAAGTTATGTATATTTACATCGAATCATTACAAGTTGATGACGTAATAACGTAATCTCAAATATGAGATGTCGTTTTGAAGTGACATTTAAAGATGTCATTTCGACATCGAAATAACGACAAATGTCATCAGTTTGCTCTACCTGGGTAATAACACAATTCGCTGCTTTGACAGAAAAGTGACATTTTTAAATTAATAACTTTTTTTTCCGGAAGAGTAGATATTTTTTAAATTCTGTATTGGAACAACGTTTGAAGGAACCTTTTAAGGAAAAGTGGCGTGACTTCAAATAGGACGTTTTTCTATAACTATTTTAGCATCGATAACACTCCTTCAGACAGTATAAAACTCAAAAATGTTCCTCTTCTACAAACAACACTGCGAATTTGATCAGACGACAACTACGAACGTGATACTTTTGTGCTCTAGCGGTATAAATTAGGAGTCACAAACGTATCGTTCTTTCGACAAAAAAAAAAACCTTTAACAAAAATAGTCTTTAGAATTGATTTTCTATCATTATTTAAAAAGTGGTCAATTTTTACTTTTCGTCACTTTTGTATTAAAGCGATAATGTATGTATTAAAAAACAAATTCTAGAGTATGCGTGTGTTAATTCCATCTAATTAAATGTCACAAAAACTGCATCAAAAGGTTTACATTGAATTGAAAATCGCTTTACTGATTGCCCGTAGACAGAATTTATCCATGAAAAGAAGCGCGACCATCGTGTATCAAAAAAAATTCATCATTTTCAATAACCGTTATTATCGTTTGTATTTAACAAAATGTAAGCAAACATTCCAGAGTTTTGTTTTGTAAATATACGTTATTAACGATTTGATAAGCTTTGTGGCTAAACCTTTTTGTCTTTCTGTATATATAAGTACGTTTTAAGAATAGATTTCTTCATACGACGTTTCCATGTAAAAGAGAAAACATCTCTATGCGTGGGTGGGTAGTTTTCGACCTGGTTTTCTTACATCGCGTTTCTCTCCCTCTGTAAGTATATCGCGCCGTTCCACTATCCCAGGAATATATATACATACACGATCCTCGGATCCCTCGGCACACTCGTAGTCGAGTATTTCAAGAAAATTCGACAACCGGCCTTCAATGTCAAGTATCTGCGGACTGGCTTAGTTTCAGATGAAAATTCCGTTTCGAAGAAAACCGATTTACAGTTTATTCGACGATTGCACCTGCGCTAAGAATTTCCTGGAACCCGTTAATGTTCGTACTCTATACCGATCTCCCGGAGTTTCCCGGGAAATAATACACCGGAATATTTTGCCGCGCTAGTTTTCCATTTTACTCCTTCATCCTCGAGAGGGGAATGAATGACGGCGTAGTGCATTTCGCACTTGCCGAGGAACGAGCAGAAATGTACAATACTTTCGACGGATGAGATCCCGTAAGGAAGGACGCGAGCGATGGTAGGACATGTCGCCTTGGTCGACTGCCGGTTTTATAAGACCATAAAGTTTGGCTCGCAGGGACTCTTCTGCTTTCTCGTTTTTTTTTCTCTCTCTCTCTCTCTCTTCTTTCTTCGCTTCGTATATCACACACGTCGTGATTCTGCCCAGCGCCTCAACTCGCCATCCGAAATTTTAGGCACGCTCGCCTAGTTCCCCGAAACGTACGGTTGCGAAATTTGATTTCTTCTCGCTCCGTGATCTATTTCTGTAGTCGAAATTACAAGGTTTTACATTCGCTGAGAAAAATTTCTGGTTAAAAATGAACGAACCAAAACATACTCTGATCTCATATCTGTTTATCTATTTTTCATTAGAATTTCAATTAATGCGATTAACCAGACTCCTTTTCCGATATTTCTAACGTCAGTTTCTACCAATGCAAATTAATTGTAATCTCGATTTAAGTTATTTTTTTATCTTTCCTTAGAACCAGAAAAAGAGATTAAAGCTAATCTGTATTAGTAGAAATGAACACGAAAGGAATTTCCACACTCGGGAATCCCCGCGCGAAGTTGACGAATTAATCGAGGTTAATTGTTTTTGCGTACCGATTATTAATAAATGAAAAATAAAAGTAAACACAATGTAAAAAATAAATATAATTTTTGACACGTTAATTCTTGAGTTTCACGTCTATGTATACTTCGTTAAATCATACTTCTTTATCAATGTATCAATGTATCACTGATAGAAAAATTCCGACACTGTATCGTTCTATTTTTGATGCTGTAACATTGGAAGAAAACTAACTGATAGAAAAATTCCGACACTGTATCGTTCTATTTTTGATGCTGTAAGCATCATTGGAAGAAAACTACCTTCACGTATCAATGATCTACCGAATACATACACTTTTTATTGCGCTCCAAAACAATTGGAAATCGTGCACTGGCGAATTTTGTGTCATCCTCTTTAAGGAAACGGCTGCTGTTTCTTATCTTTATCAGGAAGACATGTTCTTCCATGCAAGTTCCTCGAGATTATGAAATGATGGAGAAAGATAAGTGACTAAATGACGTCTGAAAGAGAGTCTGATGCTGCCGTTCCGATTTATTCTATTGTCGCAAGAATGGAAGAGGAGGTACTACGGTCGCCTTCTTAAAGAGGATGTCACAGAATTTACGTCGCACGTTTTTGAGCTCTCGGAGTTGTTGCCTATTCATTCTATCCGATTGATTCTACACTTTGAAAGTTTCCTAATTACTTTTTCGAGTCGAAATTCCAACCTTTTTTTATGATACATAGTTAAAGAGATATCTATTCGTCAGATTTTAGCGCAAACAGCGAATTATAGAGCGTAAAAGCTTACACACTACTATACAGTCTCCAGATTGATGTTCACGCAGGAGACCTTGGCCTTGCCGGCCGTCATCACCGCGTTACGTAATTTTGCGCGCGAAACATGTACAATACAATCACAGACCTTTCCAATTAACACCTCGTGTGAATATATACGAATAACATTCGCTCGAAAATAATTATGTCCGCTGCAACCAAATGGTTCGGCCAGAGGTTACGATAAAATTTTAAAAAGCAATTTCGCAAGAATTACGTAACGGTTTTATTACGGTGATTATTGTTCGACGTAAGACCCGCGGAAGATTAAAACGCTCGCCGCGAGGATACGCGTACGTGCCAAGCACATGTGATTTTTCAACGATAGCAATAACTTCCCAATTTGTTCCTCCTTTATCGGGCAGGCGGTTACTCGGTATCACGCGCGGCCTCGGTATGGGCCGCATCTTTCGATCGGTGGTATCCCCAGCGCCAGGAGGAGAGAAGTCGGCGACTTTATCGGCGAGCATTCTGATAAGGCGGTCGCGCGACAGGTACAAGGCGCGCACGGCCGGGCTTTGTGTCGTGACAAGTGCGCTTTGTCGAGGCGAGCGAGCCGACAATCGACTCTCGACGCCTCGAGTTCTGCCGGCACACGCTTGTGTTGTGTCGTGCCGCGCCGTACCGCCGATGAAGATATATAAGACGGAAATGCCGCGGTGTGTGTTGTGTGGACGAAGTGTTGAGAAAAAAATATGTCTGGCATAACGGGTTTGTCGAGGAACAGGTAGACTCTGTAAATTGAACTACTGCTTAATGCTATCATTATTTGAACAGGCATTGTGAGAGAGAAAGGTAAAACGCAAATGCTATGAGGAGTTACGTAACAACTTAACTTATTAACTCTCCACCTCCTGCACAATATGGATCTTTTTAGCACAAGCATCACTCTCGTTTTTACTCGAACTTCAATTTTTATTAAATACTATTTTGAATTAAAAAATTTATTTGGCAATGTAGACATGTTAAAAAATAACTCTGAATTTTTTCTTTTTTTTTTTTGAAAGCCTAGAATTTAAAAAAATTTGAAAAAATAGATAGACTCGCATTGTAAACGGAGGGAATAAAAATATAATTGCAGATGAAGGGTTAACAATCAAATGCCACGAATCTGACAAATAAATGTTAAATTTTTGTATAACAACGGAAAGTTATGATTTTTGTAAAAAAAAAACCATATAATCTTGTCACTTCCGTCATATTATATTCTATACGACTTTAGATTTCCTTATACAAATTAAAATTTGTAACATTTTGTTTCATTTCTTTAAAATTAAGTGTTTTTTAATGCTCTCTCCGAAGAAAAATATACATGGAAATAATGATTTTGTTAAATATTTAAGAACTTAGCTAGTCGTTAGAATGTCAAACTTTTTTGCAATATTGCTTGAATACGTAATTGTTTCAACAGTCACAAAATGATTTTCAAATCTGTATTTTGCTAAATTTTTAGACACAAATATATTATATCTGACTTAAATTTGTTTATATATCATACTTAACTTACATACAAGTTTTCACAAAAGAAATAAAGATAATCAAATTAATTTAATATACGAATTTAAATCGATGAGAATATACAAATCTAATTAGATATGGAAATTTCTATATTCAAACCAAGATCTTAGTGCTTGATGTTTCTGCGTGACATTACATTTAATATAATACACAATACTAAATTATTATTAAAAGACAAATATTATACACAATTATGAAATCGGTGTCACAGTTACTGAAATGTGTCAATGTAACATCTACTGTGTGTAGAAATTGATTGTGGTTACAATTCCGGCCATTCTACGGCGAACCTTCGCGCGGAGAAACCGAAAACTAAAGGGCCGTTTCCTCCCACTTCCTCCGATCGGTTAACTCTCTGATTCTACCGGAGATTCGACCGCAAGGTTCATCCGGCAAATTCTGCGCAATAGCACTTACAGGGTGTCCGTTTTCAACGAGTTTCCCCTCGTTTTGCGACTGGACATTCCTTAACGAACGAGCGATTGAGCTTCGCGGAGTCACGCGAGACTCGTCGACGACAACCCGATACGTTAGATACCTATCGTCACGTCGTCTAAAGAGAAAGGGAACAAGAGAAGGACGGAGGCAGGGTGGGTTTCGGGTGGGTTCTTCCATCGAGCAGAATCTCTCCTTCCCCATCCCCTCCCGTCGTGTAACATGAACCAGTTCCGCCGAGTTCTCCGATTACACGCTCCCTGGACGCGCTGGAATTTTTTCACCACCCTCCTCCGCTCCCCCGTCCGCGCCCGCGCGTCCCTTCCTCGTGCTACCCCCGTGACGAAACGTGCTGAGTATAATGGCAAACGTGACGCACAAAACCCACGTTTTTCCGCGTCAGACTTGCCTCGCCGGCACGGTTCTCGTTTTGTTCTCGGAGATACGGTATCAATCAGATTTGTCGAAACAGGAAAGATATCACTCATTTGCTACATACAGAAAAATATCATTCTACTGGTGAGAAAAGTGTGATTACTCAATTTACTTTCTCGCTTTTAAGTAACGGTTATCTTCAATAAAAATATTTTCTTAATAAATAATCTTAAAATATACTTATTACAAATATTTTGAAGAGAAAAACTCATTGCTATATACTCTAACAAGAATTTATTTTTTTCTTAAGAATATACAATTGATTGAAGAAGCGACTTTGTGTAATAAACAAATCGAATGTGTTGTAATTTAATAATCTTGATTGAAATATTAAATTTAGGATTCACGGAATATACTTTGAATGATAAATACTTGTAATGAACTCACGGCAGATTTACGGATATATAAACTTTTGAAATACTCGAAACAAGTTGTTATTACTTGTATACCGTATTTTTCTATTTGTACAACAATGACACAATTCGAAAAATATTTTCCAGAAAATGAGTTGAATAAGTTTTGAATCATTAGCATTTTAAAATATTAAAATCCCAAAGTGCAAATTTGGTGTAATAACTATAAATTAAAGAAAAATAAAAGTCTGTTCTTTTTTCTTTTTCTATAATTAATTGAAAAATAATTTTTGAGTTACATCTTGCGGCAAAGAAATGATATACTTTCTTTAAAGTAGCTTTTCTTTTTTATATTGTCAAACTAAAATTTCAGTGACCTATATAATGCGTAAAAGTTATCTCACTCTAAAAACTTTGGTGAATCATTTTTGAAAAAAACATAATTTTACGTCGAGCTTTGTCGAAAGTGAGAAAAAGTGCTCTTACCTCTCTGGAGCAGTCCTGGTATCCCGCCTTGTACCTGGACAGGCCGGGCTGAGCGAGCGATCTTTGCCGCTGCAAGTGCCTGACCGTAAGCTCCAAGATATCAGCTTTCTCAAGCTTGCTGTGCTTGGTGTTCTCCAAGCGGGCGCTGTCAAGGATGAGCGCCTTCAGCGCCGCCAAGGACTGGTTGATCCTTGCTCGTCGTCGTTTTTCCATTAGTGGTTTGTTAGCCTGAAAAACAGGAGGCAGAAAAACGATATTTTTTTTAACACTTTCATCAACGCAAACGTGACCTGTAATTCTCAGATAAAAACACAATTATTCGTTAGGCAACGTTATTCTGTTCAACAGCGGAATGTATCGCGAAATGTACTGCAAGTGAGAGGATTGACGCGCGAGGTAAGTGAAGTTTTTGTAATATTTGTATCTATCAAAATAAATTTAAGTATTGATTAACAATGACAAGAATTTGGACTGATTAGAATAAATTTGATTAAATAAGAGAAACTCTGTATTCACAGTGAAAGCGTATATCTTATAGTGTTTAAATATTTTTGTGCGAATTTATATACATATATGATTCTGCAAACCACACGCTATCTTTAATCTATCGATTACACTAAATTAATCACACTATTTACAAACGACGATATCGTTCTCAGAAAGAAATGCAGTGGGGTGAAATTCATGAGATACTGGAAATTCGCGCGTATTCAGATTTCAGAGCGGTACAAGTACTCGGCGAATTATCAAAATATGGGACTCAGAGCGTGAACTCTCGCGACAAAGAGCAATTCAAGGAGTATGAACGCTAAATCTCCTTACGCGCAATCGCATCTTTTAAGAACTCACGATCATAGAAATTCTCGAACAAAATGAACAGTTCGAATCGACAGACGACCCTATTACCCAAGTTCAGCGATACGTTACGTCCTTTGTTCGACATTCGTTTCTCTGTTGTTTGCGAGATGTTTGTTATTCGTAAGGTCGGAGAGGTATGGCAAGATTCATTAGAACTTTTGATTTTATTTAGCCAGGCTTTATCGTGAATCATATTAGAGTGATTTTAATTAGTGCAAGGTATGCGAATCGAGTCATAATTTTGAACACATTCCGCACAATCCGGAACGTGTTTGCTGTGTGTTTCTCGATAAAAGATAGAACCGTGGAAGTTTAAGGCGTTGCCCGGAATCCGAGGCTTTTTACGTTGGAGGGAAAAAAAACAGTAATAATTCGAAGTAGCTTTCGTCCGAGTTCTTACAATTAGCGACAGTAGGTCAACGTGTTGCCTAGATGCAGCACGCTCCTCTATCCTAGCCGGAGTACTATTACTCTTTTTTTGTGCGCGCTTCGCGGAAGAGGTTGATTTACGAGGAGCCGCCGGCAATGAGCGTGACGAGTGAGCGAGCGAAACAACGATGAGAGAATGACAAAGAATATCCGGGAGGGTAGAGAGGAAAAGAGAAAGAGAGAGAGAGGGACGATGCGATGCGTCCAGTGCCAAGTCCAGACACTATCGAGAGTATGAACCTATTTCATGCGCTTCCGTGTCTCTCTTTTCCTCGAAACTAGATTCAAGGTAAGCGCACAGAGCCTGGGTGGCCTAGGACGATTTTACGAGGACATTACCGGTTCCAGATTGAACGTAAGCAGGTTTAGGTCCAGATAAGGTCCGCTCGAGCTGGACGAGATCGGCTTCTCGCCTTCTTCTTCTTCTTCTTGTACTTCTTCAGTCGATTTCCATTCCTTCAGGGAACGCTGTACTATACCTTTACGCGTTCGCCTCGTTCCGATTTCAGTCTCAACAAGGAACGTTCCTGCAGCCGGTGGAGCTTCACATTGTCAAGTCTGAAATATCGAAGTTCCTCCATAAGAAGCATACGGAAGGTACGGCCGGCATCGGCTTCTCGCAGAGGCCAGTTCGTCCCTTTCTTCTTCCATGGCACTCTTCTTGGATTTTCGACTCAAGGAGTCGCGGTACAACACTTGAAAAGTCGTTAAATACTAGGTTTTCAAAGGACCCAGGCCGGTTCTTTACGAGCGTCTCAACGTGCCGAATAATCTTTCACTTCTTTGTGGCTCTCCGCGCGCTGGCGGCGTGCCGACGTCGTTCACCAAGACGTGGCGTGGCGGCAAACGCGCTCGAGGGAGGGAAAAAAAAAAAAAAAGAGAGGACGATCTCCGAGATGCGACAGCCGCGCTTCGCACAGATGAGCGGAGATAGAGCCGAATAAAGTGGATCAGGACCGAAATGGACGACGGAGGCGAAGGCGTATATATACGCACCGGGTGTCCCGAAAGCTCGCGTCAGCGGGCAAATTTATCGCTCGTGCAGATGCCACTGCGACAGTTTTGTCGGGTGCGCCGATAGTTAATCTATCGGAGATGAGGACCGTGAAGAGAAACGAAAGGAACGGAATCGCGGACAGACGATTCGGAGCTATAAAAGAGACGGGAGAGTAGCGTGTGCTTGTGTGCGGAGACACAAAAAATAAAAAAAAAAAGGTAAACGCCGACGTTCCACATGGAAAGAGGATAGCGTGCGAAACGGCGAGGCCGCGGACCGGCAAAGGCACGTCCGCCGCCGCCGAGGCGGGAGACGACAGATATTCACGGCGTGGAGAGTGAGAGAAGACGGTCGGGAAGAAGAGAGAGAGAGACGGCGCGACAGAGAACGGATGAAAAGGAAACGGCGCGGGTATCCCCGTGAGAGATGAAGGTAGCGAGCGTCGCAGAAAGAGAGAGAGAGAGAGAGAGACGGCGATAGACACGTTTCTCTCTCTCTCTCTCTCTCTCTCTCTCTCTCTCTCTCTCTCGCGCAGAGAGCGACAGAAATGGAAATCGCAAGCAGAAGCGCCGTGCAGAACGACGAAGAGCAAAGTCGTCTCTAACGAGAAAGAGGGATGGAGGGAGGGAAGGGGGGGGAGAAAATTGTGACTACCACGTGAAAGAGCGACAGAGGCGGAGAGAGACGATCCGCGAGAAGGATAACAGGCGTGGACACGAGCGCGGAGCGAGCGGGGCACCGCAGAGATACGTCGAGGGCGACGAAGAGTAAGTTGAGAAGTAGGGAGGGTCGAGAGGAAGACGAGGCGAAGTCGGCGGCGGCGGCGGCGGCACGGTGCGTTCACACGGGAGCGCCGCCGCCGCGACGGGTAAACAAACGAGCGAGCCGCCACCGCCGCGCGCGGTCATGCGTATTCGTGTGCGTGCGTGCGTGTGTCACACTTGTGCGTCCGTACGTATGTACGTGCGCGCGTGTCATCGCCGCCAACCGGCGCGGCACTCTTGCTCCGTCGCGTCCTTCTATTATTACGAGAGGCGCGCATGAAGGGCGGGCGAGGAGGGAGGGAAGGGGAGAGGGGGGGGGAGGGGAGGTACGAGAGGCAGGAGGGTGAGACGCGCGTCCGTCGACGGACGGTGGAGACTTCTCGTGTGTGGGCCTCGGCTCGCTCCTCTCCGCTTGTTGTGTGTCGCGCTGCGTTATATATCTGTGTACGCGCGGCTGAATATTGGATGCGTCGCTCGCGGGCGAAGCGGGAGAGGAATTTTGTAATAGAGGCGTTTAAATTACGCGCCTCGGCGATTCGGAGGCTGAAACTGGGTTAGTCGTGGACCATTTGTCCTCCCTTCCTTTTCCTTTCGCTTTGATTCCGCTCCTCGAACGAAAGCCGACGACGCTCGCGCTGGAGAATGCGAAAGGCGGCTACATCGTCTATATCGGCGCTTGAAGAGAAGAGTCCGCGATTTTCTTCCGTTAAATTCTCGTTAATAAAGTATCGATAAATATTTCAAGTGCTCGAAGAAGCGCGATTTATCAGTCACGTTGAATTTCACCTTCTCTTCGCTCTTTATCTGATAATTTTCTTTCCGAACGTTACAGATGTATCAGATAAATAATCTCTTTGAAAAGTGAGACTAAAATCGGAAATTTATACTTTCTCCGTATAAAAGTGAATGCTTGATCGATATTTATATTTAACACGATATATAATTTTATAACTTATATACTTCTAAATAAGAATTTTCTCATTTTGTCCTAATTATTTGTTAGAAACATGTTTATTTAATCAAAATAATTTTCGATCCCAATTCTAAATCGCCGTCAAACTTTTTACAATACAGACAAATCTATAATTCATTTTGTTGAAATACATCCTTAGTCCGCTACTTATCTTCCAAAGAGAAACAAGATTCCTTCCACGAGACTTCAATTGCACCGCGCTTTCCGATAGCTACCGAAAAATTGTATTCCCCGAGATAATTCCGCGATTGTCGTGACGCTCTTTCAGCTGGCGTGACTTAGAAAGATAGGCGCGCGAAAAAAGAGGCGGGAGATAAAGGAGGGGACAGACTGTGAGCGGCGGCGCAGCGGCGTGACGGCGTGACTTTGACAGTGCCGCCGATTAGCGCGTTACGCGCGATAAATCACATTCTCGTTGTTTGCGACTTCGCGTCACGTACGGCGACGGCATTGTGAATCAGCATCGACGTGCAAACTACCTCGCGCGAACCGCTGGAATTTTTTTTTTTTTTCCCAGCCAGACTGTTTTAACAACAGTCATCGCGCGCTAATAGTGAGTCGGTCACGGTCATTTTTTTCGGTATATGTAGTGTATCGTAGCCGTACAATACGTAGACGCTTCGGAGGTAAATCTTTGTGTAAACACGGGACTTATTATCGTACATTATTTTCATATACAACACGTGAGGAACGTCATCCTTACGAAGAAACATTTATGCCAATCGCAACATCACCAGAAAGTATCGAAGCTGACGCTTATATGTATATGTATAGTAAAACACTCGTATTAAAAAAATAATTCTACATTTGTCTTTCTGTAGATACATATCCGGTGAACACGAAAAATATATTATATCAATATTATATTTTTTCTACTCAACAATACAAATGTAATACAAACGTAACAGTTGCATTGTGAAGGAAAGAATTGAAACACATTGTAATGTTACTATTAGTTAGTTTATTGGATACACTTCATAAAGAATGTCAAGATTTAATTTACTGCTTTAGACCAGTTTTTACACGAGAAGAATGGTTTTGCTGAAGTATTTAAGAAGTTAGCGCTAAGATACAGATCTAAAAATAGTTATCTTTGAACTATCGAAACAATTATGTAGGATGCTCAAGATTGTTTCATAAAGAGTGTCAAAATTTTTTGCAACATTGTTCATCACGCTTGATTAGATTTACCATAAATTTCTCATCT